CCGGGCCGGGCCGGGCCGTCGGGGCTCGAGGTCCAGCCCCTGAGCACCGAGGAAGGGGAGCCCCTCCTAAACCTAGTGCTGGGGGTGGCAGGTGATCCGGGGATTCCCGGAGGTGTGGGTAGGCAGAGTGTGCCCGTGGGGCTTGGAATGGGTTGGGAAGGGGACGGCGAGGTGGGCTTGCCTTTCGTCTGTACAAGCCATGAATCAAAAACAACCCACATTTGCATGTTGGGAAGAACCTGCTGGCCTCTTTGTGGCGAAAGGAGGGGCGAGGGCGGCCTGAAGGCAGGGAGACCCCGCAGGAGACTGCGCGCGTGAAAACGTAAAGTCGAATGGAGAACCGGTCAGGAGGGAGAACTGAAGAGGTGGACCATTAGGAGACCCAGCTGGGGACGGACTAGCAGGAGGGGGAGGGGTCAGGATGGTTGCCGGTTCGTCCTGGAGGAGGAGCCGGTTGGAGGTGGGGGTGGATGAGATCAGACTTGGACCTGGTGAGATTACGGTCAGCCAGTCAGCCAGGGGCCCTACTGTAATAATCAGCTGCTAGCTACCATAAGGCGAGGGCTTAGATTGTGCCAGGCTCTGCCCTAAGCGCGCTTCTGGGATGATTGATCCAGCCTCACAATAAGCCGATGAGGCAGGTGTTTCTACAACTCTGATTTTCAGCAGAGAAAACGGAGGCTTTAGAAGAGCCGCTTGTTTGAGTAAGTGATGGAGTTGGCTAAGGAGGCCCAGAGCTGAAGGGACACTGTCCATTGCCTCTGAGAGGCAGCTTGAGACAGGATGTGGTTGGGTTCCTTTAGACCCCTGGCCGTCCTGCCCTCTGGAGCAGATCCGAACTGTTCCATGGGGTTTCTTATGCCGGTGGTTCAAACTTCGAACCTTTCAGTTAGCATCTTAGTGATTAACCACTGCCCTATCGGGCTGCAGGAGGGGGTAGGATAGCCTTTGAGGATTGAAAAGAATCAAGGTGACCTATGGGAGTTTGGGACTCTCTGGATGTCTTCAGAATCTTCTGGACCGTGGGTACTGCAGAGATCTGGGGAGCGGATAACATCTATGGGAGACAGGCTGCATCCGGGTCTTTAGTTATCACAGAGCGTGCATCTGAGATCTGGGCTGGAACAATTTACTTTAACGCACTATGGATCCCAAAGGGTTGGGGAGATGGTGGGAGGGTCGGTGCTGGGGGTGTCTGTGAAAGGGTTCTGCTGGACTAGGATCTGGGAGGAACCCCTGTTCCTATCGTCCATGGTGTCTGATGGCTCCCTGCTCCCTAGAACTAGGCAGGTGACAAAGCTGTGTGCCCACAACCAGGATAGCCCATAGTCACTCAACACTGCCCCAAACAAGGCATCTATCATGGGGAGCCACATGCCAGGCCTGAGAAACACACAGTGTCTGCGGCCATCACACACTCAGGCTTAAACATGGGTGGCTGCTTGGCTAACCCTTTGGAACATCCATACAACGTACCACGTGCTTTCCTCAAAGCCCCTCATCTAGTGCACAGGACAGATGAGGCAGCAGGACCCTCCCGGGGTGAGAAGCCATGAGGGTTGTGGTGAGGGCTTCTGCTGGTTTGACTGGCGCTAAGCATCAGAAAATTCATTTCTTAGATGTCGTGGCTGGGTTTCTAAAGCGAGACCAGCAACCTTTCGTCTTCGATGTGACTGGTAATTCTGGAGCCATGGTCTGTGACCTTGTGGTTTGAAGGCCTCTGGTTCTGTTATCCAGTTACCTGTCTCCAGCATCCCCAGAGCTTCAGTGTTCCGAAAATGACCCACTTGGAAGAGATGTTTAAGAAGCATGGTCACCATTCCCAGGATCCCAGATGGGGAGCAGCAGCACTGGAATGACCCTAGACGTAGCCCTGAGATGTAGCACTGCGGTTTGAACGGAAAGCCAAGAATTTGGTCTGACGTGAAGGAAGCCCATGTAATAGAGCCATCCCCCAGGGAGTGGATGCCTCAGGAGATAGTGAGCTATCACTGGGAATACTGACAGAAGCCACTTATCTTGGATAGTGTCAGGGACTCACCAAGATGACTTTTAACAGGCCTGATGTTAAAACGTTCATTCTTTAGGGCAAAGGGAGGAGAGAATTCCCTTGGGGGCCAGGCTCTGAATGCAAGTACCTTTGAATTCATTTTCTCCCACAGAGACAGACCACCACTCAGGGCAAGGAAGGATGGTGCTGGGACTGGCCAGTGGCACTTTACCAAAGCTGGTCCCCTAGAACCTGGCACCCTGACCCCTTAGTGTTAGAGCCTGTGTCAGCAAGCAAACCTTTGATCTTCTGGGTACCTCAAGCAAACATACTTCATGCTCTGAGGCATCATCTTAACCACATCTAACCCATCTTTTGGAACTCTCTAGAAACTCCCATCCTGCCCACGAAAAGACTAGATTAAATCATAGGTGATGAGGGGGGGATTGTAGCAGAGGACATCTGCTGGCACGGGGAGCAGTTGAACGGTGCCGAAAGACACCCCCCCACCCACCAGGGCAGAGACCACACTGGTGGAAGTAGGTAGTGCTGTGCAGACAGCATCCTGACCCCTTCCCCCTGCTCCAGCGCATCAAGAAATCAGGCAAGGGGCTCTGGGGGGGGCGCTGCTTTTATGGGGACGACCTGACAGAAGGGCATGGTCCGTACAAAACCGGGAACAATACATACATATATATATATATTATGTACAGAGACGAGGTCCCTCCGAGCAGGATGGGGGTGGACCGGAAGTGCCCTCAGCGCGCCAGTCTGGCTCCGCCCCCTCCATCAGCCAGGATGAGGGGGGTGAAGTGCAGAGGCCAGGCCAAGGCCAGCAGAGAGACAGCCAACTCTTCAAGGGGTGGGGAGCACATGGGGGGGGTGGTGGGACGACAAGTGGGGTGGAGGCGGAAGAAATACTGACGGATGGCATGGTCTATTTACAGGGGGCAGGGTAAGTCAAAACAGATGGGTGGTCTGTTTTTAGAAAATGAGCAAAAAACTCAAGCATGGGGCAATAGGAAGGAGCAAAATGAGAGATTGATTCTGAAAGGGGAGGGGACCTGGGGGGGGTCTCACCTCCCTTGGTCCAAGCCCCAATTTGGGGTCTGAGTGGGGAAAGGGTGTAGATTTCACTCAAAGTAGGCTGCCAACTGGTGGCCTGGTCTCCGTAGGATGAGCACTGGGCGGCTCCCCTCCAAACAGTGGGGGGCGAGGACGGGATTGGAGCCTTTAGCACAGGGCTTCCGGGTATCCTCAACTCCCCCCTCCTGTGAGGCAGCCAAGAGAGAGAAATGTTCCTGGTGTCTGACCAGGCTGGGCCTCTGTGGCCAGGCCCCTAAGCTGGCTGATGCCCTCTCATCCTGGCATTCCCAGGCCTGGCCAGGGTTACTGCCCACCCCCCACCCCCTGGGCCCCAGAGCAGTTTTCTGGAGTGGGTTATGGCTATTTGGCACCTGGGGGAGGGGAGGCACAAGGAGAATGAGGGCTGCAGCCCCCAGAAAGGGGGAGCTGGGGACCAGGTGTCCTGGACTCCCCTTTTTCCACCCTCACTTTGTTTTCCCCAAAGGACAAGTGAGGAATCAGTGCAGGGCCAGGCCCAGCCTCGGGCTCTGGAGTGGACCCTAGCCCTCCTGGGAGGGGGAACAGACACTGGAGGGGGTGCAGAGGCAGGCCCCCCTGCCCCCAAGCAGGAGGGTCAGAATGCAAGAGACAATACAATGATTGGAGGAAGGGTGCTGGGGGGAGGGGGCGAATGACCCAGAAGGTCAAGTCTCAAGTTGAGGCCCAGGAGCCCGGTAGGCGGGGAGCAGCCTCCAGTTGTTCAGGTGCTGGGAGAGCCCCCAGCCCCATTCCAGTCCAGAGACAAAGGCTGGAGGTGGTTAAGTCTGGCAGTTCGGTCTGCAGGTCCTGTGTCGGTCCACCACCCAGGCCAGCCCTCGGCATCCCACAGCCTCTGTGCCTCAGCCCCGTGGGGCAAGCAGGGAGCTGCCCTTCCAGCCATCTGTATGCCCAAACCCCCGTAAGGGGGCCTGTGGTGTGGGCCCTCTGGTCCCTGATGCTGGGGGAGGTGGGGTGGAGGGGACGGGGGAGTTGGGGCACCTGTCCCCAGGCCGGTAGGGGGCGGGGCAGAGGATGAAGGATGGGAGGGAGGACGACGGGAGAGGGTTGATTCTTGTCCAGTCAGGAAATGGTCCGGTTTAAGTAGAATTGGAATTCCTCAGTGTGTGCAGGTTTCCTTCCAGTTCAGAGATCTAGAGAGAGAGAGAGAGAGAGAGAGAGAGAGGCACTCAGGCCTGGGCCTGGTTTTGCCCTGCTCCCCTCCCTTCAGAACCTTCCCTGCTGTTCCTCCCTCAGGCAGGCTGCCCCCCCCCACACACCGCCCCAGGGGCTGGGGCTACCTTGTCCAGGAGCTTGTCCATCTCCTCCTTCCTAGCCAACTCGGACTCCTCCAGGACCCTACGCTGCGCTGTCTCCTTTTTCAGGAACTCGATCTCCCTGGGGAGAGGGGGTGGGAAGAGATGTGTCCTAGGCAGCCTTGTGTGCCTCCTCCTTCAGGTCTCCCCAGAGCTCTGGAGCCTGGCCCTGTGCTGGCCAGCACTGGTGCCCGAGGCATGCAGAGCCAGGCGCCAACACCATGGGGCCTGCCAGCTTCATCAGGACTCCCTGCCTCCCTGCTTGTTAGGCTCCCCAATGCTCCCCGTCTCCACCTCTACCCAGCAACCCAATTCTCTCCCCGCCCCCATACTTCTGCTGGTAGTCCTTGATGAGCCGCTTGGCCTTGCTGTACTTCCGTTCCAGGGCCTGGTACTGAGCCTGGGTCTCCCGCAGGTGCTCGTCCACCGCCTGGCACAGGCTCTGGGCCTCCCCCCAGTAGCCCTCCAGCTTCTCCATGCGCTCCTTGTTCTCCTCCACGCTCTGCTCCAGCTGGGCCTTCTCCAGCCGCCACCGCCCCTTCTCCTGCTCCAGGCCCTGCAGCTGAGGGGGAGGAGCGGCCCTGGGTGAGTGGGGTCAGGGGGCGCCACCCGCCCACCTGTCCTGGCCCTGGGGCGCAGGCCTCTGGGGGACCCCTGAGGATCTGGAGGACCCCAACTAACTCTCTGACTGAGCCAGAGGCCTGAGGCCCAGACAGGAAGGGGGCAGGCCCTCCTTCCTTGACCTTGCAGGGAGGGTCGGTCTCTGGCCTGGCACCCGGTCCCTAGCTCTGTGACTGGAGACGAGGTGGCTTCTGTCTCAAGCCTTCCATCTGTGAAATGGGAATGGTAATACCCCTTCTCGGGCTCGCAAGGGCTGCAGGGAGCTGCCAGTAGGAGAGAGCAGGGGGAGCAAGGGGCCTTGTGTGCACAGCACCCCCTCTGGCCAGTCCCTGCTCCCGAGGCTTCCTCAACACTCCTAGCTCCTCTCCCAGCTCCTAGACCCCCAGGGTCCTCCCCACCCCACCAGTACTGGCTCACTGTCTCCCACACCACCCCTGGGTGGTTCTGAGCAAATCCGAGCTTCAGCTCTACCTCACTCCCTCTCCAGCCTGACCCCCAGCGCCCCCAACGACGACCCTATCCAGAGCCGATACCCCATCCTCACAAATCCATGCCTCCCTTCCTGACTTGCTCACCACCATCTCGCAGTCACCCGAGGCCCCAGCCTCACAGCCCTGCAGGTCACCCCGGCTTTGTCGACAGTAAAATCTCTTGCGTTCCAGGCCCCCGCCACATGCACCTCTACTGACATACCTCAGGGCCTCTGCATGTGCTGTTCCCTACCTGGACCATCCCATCCGCCCTCCCCCTGCCCAGTTTTCCCCATTAGCTCATGTCCAGCCCTCTGCTCCCATCTCACTCTAGGGTAACCTCCTCTAGGGTCCCCACCCCCTGGCCTATCCCTGGCTGCATGGGCACCTCTGCTCCAGGAGTGCAGAAACCGGGGCCCTCCTCCGAGGGCCCTCCCCCACGGCAACAGCCCAGCCACTGCCAAGCAGGCTGCACACTGCACATGGCTGGCTCCAGCCTACCACAGTACCTGGTACCTAGATGGTTCCCCCAAAATATGTACAAATTGAGTGTGATGCAACCTTGGATCTGTCCCCCACGTGCAGCCGACACCCAAGAAGGATGCATGTGAAGTCAGCCTGTAAAATACATTATCCTCCCTTTCTGCCTGTACTTGGTGCATTCCTGGGCCACCCTGCCTGGACCTTGCCTGAGCCCAGTTCTGCCCATCCTCATGCCCTTCCCAGGCCGGGGCCCTCTGTCCACAAAACCAAGGCCAGAGTCCTCAGGGACATCCAGCCTTCCTCCCCCACCTGCACAGCCGGTCAGGCCCCCGGGGTCCTACTCCACCGCTGCTGACAGCATCCTCCTGCTTCCTCAGCTCTCCAGACCTGCTGCCCCACCACGGCTCGGCCTGACTCTCCTCTGTACGTGTGTGAGGGGGGAGTGAAGCTGTGTCAGTGTGGACTCACGGTCACTGTGTTCCTCCCTGCCACCATGGAAGCCCCATGTTCAGTGTCTACACCCCAGCATGGGCCTGGTTCACATTTTTAAAACGAAGTCTGTGGATCCCCATGTCTGTGAGCTTGTTGTCACCTAATAGTCTTACGTGGGTGTCTGTATGTGGCACACAGCCATGTGTGCATGTATATTGTGTGTGTCACATGACTCTCCCCCTAAGGGTCTGCATGAAGGCCCTGCTTGTGCGCCTCCCAGCAGACCTGAGCTGGGCTGGGGCACCGGTGTGTGGTCACATGATGCTGCCTCTGCAGAGGCATGGGTTCTAGGTCAGGCCCGGTCCCGGCTGGAGGAGCCAGTGCAGGCATAGCTGGGGAGCTGCTTCATGTTGCTGGGCCTACAGGTAGCAGACACCCGTGAGTCAGTCTGAACACACATGGGGACATCTACGGTGTGACTTGCTCGACACTGCTCAGTCCTGTAGGTGTACATCCTCCTTGAACCTGAGTAACAGAGCCAGGGAGCGGCAAGGCAGGGAACGGCTAGAGTTCATAAGCCCACCTCAGAAGGCTTGCTCTGTCCCTGCCGGTGGGTGGTATCTGGGCGTCGGCATGTGCGGGTGCGAGGGGATCCTATCCTTCATGCCCCCAGGCCCCTTGCCCCCCAACATGCACGCGCACGCAGGGACACACACCTTTCTTTTCAGCTGCTGGATCTCGGCCTCTGTCACCGCGTGCTTTATCTGGAGCTGTGGGACAGCAGGGCAGCACTCAGCTCCGGGTGGGGTAGGCAGGCTGGAGGGCAGCGGCTGGTCGGTCGTGGCCTTCCCCACCCGGGGACCCCCGCTCATCCCACCTCCTTGAACTTATGCACCAGCTTCTCGGGCTCCATGTCCACGGGGGACAGCGCGTCCTCGTTCTCCGCCAGCTCGAACACCTCGATGGCCATCTCGCCCCCCGGGAACGTGGGGCTCAGCTCCTCGTCCTCATCCGTGGCATACTCCCCGGTCTGCAAGGCAGACAGGGTGCTGCAGCCGCAGCCTCCCACCTCCACCTCGGCCCAGGGCTCCGGCCTGTCCCGCCTCCCTCCCCACAGCCTATGCACACCTGAAGAGGCGGCATCCCCTCTCCCATGAGGGGTCCCCTAGGCCAGGCCCAGTGCTTCCCCGGCCGCTGGGTGGGGGTGGGGGTCCCACAAGGCAAGTGGATGTGACTCCTCCTACCAGGGAAGAGTGTGGCAGAGGGGCGCTGCAAGGCCTCGTCTAGTCACCAGGGGGCGAGCACACCCCCAGCCTGCCTACCTCCTCGTCGTCCTCCCCATACTGGGAGTATCTCTGCTCCATCATCTCCCGCTGCCAGCGCTCCTGTTCTAGGGTCTGCTGGATGAGCTGGGCCACCTCGCTCTGTTCTCCTGGCCGCTCCCGACCGATCATAAACCTGTGGGAGGCGCCAGCATCAGCACCCCCGTGCCTGGCTGCCCGGTTGGTACTGCCCTCCCTCCCCAAATCAAAACCCAGACATCCAGTTGATTCACATTCATAGTGACCCACATAGTGACCCCCGAGGGCCATGCAGACCTGCCCTGTGGGGTCCCAAGGCGGCACACCGCGGTGGAAGCAGACTGCCACATCGTTGGCCCGTGGATCAGCTGGTGGGTTTCAACCACCAAACTTTCCGTGGGCAGTTGGGTGATTTTACCACTGAGCCACCAGGGTGCACGGCTAGACCTTCTCAACCAGAAACTGCTGTGGGGCTTACTGTAACCCCACAGGGCAGAGTAGAATTGCTCCACGCGGGTCCCCAGACGGTAAAGCTTTACAGGAGTCTCCAGCCTCATCTTCGGCTCACGCATCAGCTGGTGGGTTTGAACCGCCAACAGTGTAGTTAGCAGCCCAGCATGGAACCCTCCCCCAGAAGGTAAGATGAGAGGGCTGGTCCAGAGGCGCAGAGAACATCAATAATGAACAGGGGAGCCGAGGTCCTGCTGGGTTTCCTTCCCAAGGGAGGCAAGGCAGGAAGGGCCACCAGCCCACCTGGCCAGTTTGGGGAACCAATTGTCCAGTTTTGCCAGCTAAGCTTCATTGCAGGGCTGGAAGGCCATAGTCCTGGGTGGCCCACCCAGGGTGCTCACTGGCCCCTGGGCAGAGGCTGGGGTATGACCCACCCCTTGAGGCTGGGCTGAAGGGGTGTAGCTGGGGTCTGTTCCAAGCTTCTGAGCTTCAGGAAGGGGTGGGACGATGGTGACCGGAGATTAGGATGGAGAGGAAATAGTGGAACTTCCAGGTAGTAGCCCCTCCTCCCCATGAACACCCACATCCTGTTTCCCTCCACCACCCTTTCCTGGGGGTAAGCACCCCCTTTGAGGGGTGGGGAGTGACCCCTGGATGCTATGCAAGAGATGAAGGGGGCACAGGGAGCTGCTGAGCCACATGCAGGAGGAGAGGGAGCTCCCAGGATGACAAGGGGCTGGGGAGGAGGGACAGAAGCTTCCGATGCAGGCCCCGAGATGGAGAGCTGCCTCCTGGTGCATCTCGGATCTTCCCCCAAATTAGTTGGGAGGCAGGGGAGGAGGGAATGTTTGTATCAGTGACAGAACAGCCCACTTGGGCAGCGAGCCCAGGGCCTGCCTGGTTGGCACAGGGCTGGTCGCTAGTAGCGGGCAGAGAGCTCTGGGGTGGAAAGGCAGGTCAGGGCAAGGGATTGTGGGACAGCAATGCCTGCAGGCCGGGAGTCAGTAGAACTGTGAGTTGGGCTGAATCAGAACACTGCCCAGGCATAGGCAAGGGGAGCAGAATGGCCCGTGGGTGCTGAGTCCCCCCACCCCCCCTCACCGCACTCGGCCTTTGGTGTTCCGGAGCACGGAGGCTGCGAAGCTCTGGGTCACGCCCACCAGGCTCGTCCCATCTACCTCCACCAGCAGGTCGTTCACCTGGATCCTAAGGAAAGCAACAGGCGATGAAAGGGGTCAGGGAAGGGGTCACAAGGGAAGCCGTGGAACCGGGCTCAAGCTGGCTCCTCCCATCAGAAACCTGGGGCTTGGTGCCCGCAGGGGCCTGGTACTTGGTTCATCTGCATACATGCGTGAGGTCAGAGGGCGGGGCACCAGCCAGGCCTAGCTGTGTGTGTAGGAGGGGCACTTGTGCAAGGGACATGGAAGCAGGCATCCCGGGCCAGAAGGGGTGCAGACACACTTCTTCCCCCGTCACCCCTGACAGAGGGGTCTGACATCCACAGCCCCCACCCCAGCCCACGCACCGGAGCACGCACACATGGTGGCTGAAGCCTGAATCCAGAGACATTCTCCCAAAGGCTGAGATGCGTGCCACACACGCTCTGGCATGCACACACAGTCCCATTCCCTAGGGCTGCCTCCGCCCAGTGCATACTCCCCCACACACTGCACAGGGTGACAGGTTGGGGTGGCCTGCCTGGCCAGATGAGGGGCTGCAGGTGGCGGGGGGAGCCTCGGCGGTCCTGCTCCTCCTCTCCCACCCCCCTTGGTGCTCCAGGCCTGCGTGCGGGGCCCTGCGGGATGGAGGAAATGGCTCAACAGCGCACACCACACTTCTGTGGGGGCGCAAGCTCGCGGTGCACGCACAAAGCATCACATGCGCCAAGTCCCTAAGTACACGCCCCGCCCCCCTTCCCAAAGAGCCAGCAGGCGAGCAGGGAAGGTTCTAGAAAGTTCAAATCAGGAGCTGTGTGTGTGTTGTGGGGGTGGAAGGGCATAAAGAGCAGGACAGTTACCTTTCCCCTTTCCTGCCCCTACCCACACTGCCTGGGCACAACAGGCAGAAGCCCCCGGTTAGGCAGCTCTACCTCCGGAAACTCGGCCTCCAACCTCAGACACCCAGGCTTCCCTCTGCCAGGCACCACCACCACCGGCACCTCGCCAAACTCCCTGAACTCGCTGCCACCGAGTCGATGCCAACCCACAGCGACGCCCTACGATGGGGCAGAACTGCCCCCGTGGGTTCTGAGATGGGAACTCTTACAGGAGCGACCAGCCTCATCTTTCTCCCATGCAGTGGCTAGTGGTTTCAAACTGCTGACCTTGTGGTAAGCAGCTCAACCCTGCCGGCAACTCCTGCTCACAACAAGCCTGGGGGTGGTATGCCCTGAAGCCTTGTCCCTTCCTGGCGCGTGCGCGCGCGCGCGCGCGCACACACACACACACACACACACACACACACACCACAAAAGAGCCAGCAGAGAGGTAGCTGGCTGCCCAGGACTCCAGCTTACTCTCCTGTCCCTCAAACCCACAGTCCTCACCCCCTTGCAGCCAGAGGTGTTAACACATGTGCCCCCAGGCAAGGCCTGCCCACCAGGCACAGCCCCAACAGGAAGAACAGGCCCCCTGCTCTCCTAGCCTGTGGGTCCACACCTGGGTCCCTTGCCAGTCACCTGCCTGCTCCCATTCCGGCTAGGACCTCTTCCCCAGTCCGATGGCCTTGGCCCCTCCTCCTCCCCCTTCAGACCTTGGCTCAGAGGCCACTTCCGCCAGGCAGCCTTTCCCGACACCCAGCTAGGCTATCCCGGCACCGCCATATCTCTGCCCCAGGGCTGTTTCCTGTGTCCACCTGTTTCATGCATGCTCGCTCAGGGCACGGTCCAGCAGTGACAGTCAGAGGTCAGGGTGGGTTCAATGAACAAAGGCAGACTTGGCTGTGGCCCGGCCAGGCCGGCAGCCCCCTGCCTCCCCAGCAACAATGGGCCCAGGACACTCGGCACCAGGGCAAGGCAGGTTTCCTTGCCCTCTCGGAATCCCCAGCCGCTGGAAGCACTCCAGGCCCGCAGTGCTCCCCGGAGACTGAAGCCCACGCGCAGAGCACCCCGGTCTCCTAGGTGACAGCCACCCCTAGGCTGTGGCACAGCCCGCAGACAGGACGACCATGAGAAGGACAGCTGGTGGGGGGTGGGGCGGGGAGGGGCGTGGAAGGCTGTACCTGCCGTCCCGGTGGGCTGCGCCGCCCTCCGTCACGGTCTTGACGAAAATGCCCAGCTTCTCCAGACCCATGTCCGCCCCGGCCCCCATGCCGATGATGCTGATGCCCAGGCCCTCGGAGTCTGTGGAGCAGAGGGGCAGTTGAATGCCAGGGGAGAGAGAGGGTGGTGAGGAGCTCCAGACCGGGCCGCAGGGGTGGAGTGAGATGCCCCAGCCTTCTCCCCTTCTCCCAGGATGGCCCATAACTGGGAAGGGGCAGTTCCTGCCCAGCCCTTTGCCAAACCCACCGGGATGGCTCCAGTCACCACCCAAAGGGCTGGTGAGCAAGAGTTGGCTGAGGGGCAGGGCTGGCAGCTCCGGCGTGTACAGTGAGGGCAGGGTGGGCTGTGTGGTTGAGATGTGGATGGGGTGGTGGCGGCGGCTATTTGGGAAGGTGGAGGGTCATGGGGTGGGGACAGTGAGGGATGAGGCCATGATGGGGTGGTGGGCTCTAGGGTCCCGATGGGGTGGTGGTGGCCGGGGAGGGCCATGGTCCTGAGCCTCGTTTTCGTCCCACCTCAAGGCAGCCTTTGCACTCACAGCTCCAATGGCCAGACCTCCCGGTTTTCGCTCCTGAGGCTCATGCCCTTGCACATACCTGGCCGTTTCATGGGCGCCTGACATCTGAACTCAGGATCTTCTCTGGACAAACTGGCTCACCCACCACTCCCTCACTGGGAAGGGCACCACTACCCACCGGCTGCCAAGCCTGGGCCTCACCTGGATTCCTCTCTCCCTGGCAGCCCCTGCCCCTGAGCCAAACACCCAGGAGTCCCTGTCTTGGAGTACCTGGAAAGTGCCCCCACTGACATCACTCCAGCCCATCCCCCGTGATCCCTCTCCCCACACATAGGGGGGGGAGGCGGTTCTTTCTGCAACACCCTTCGGCTAGGGGTGGCAGGGGCTGTTGTGTACACAGGCAAGGGACAGTGTGGTTATGGTGGGGCTCTGACGGGGAAGGGGCAGTGGTCACACCTCCCGGGGGTTTCTAGTCCATCTTAGCAAAAATACCATGCTCTTTACATGGCCCTACGGGTCCATTTGCACACCCCTCCTCCCCGCCCTGTCAGAGCACCTCAGGGTGGGCTCCATGGCCTGTGAAAGTTGTGTCCGTGCCCGAGGGCAGAAGGCAGGCCTCAGTGCCCACCGTGGCATGTCCAGGACACAGCTCAGGGCCCTGAGCAGAAATGAGCATGTTAACTGACGATCAAAGCATGTTCCATAGCAGGGTGGGTGGCAGGTGTGAGCCTGTACTGGATCGGAGACCATGTGTGGCTGCCGGGCATTGACGAGGGATGGGCTGGGCAAGGCTGCCAAGGGGCGGGGCAGGAAGGAGAAGCCACAAGGCTCTGTGGAAGCCAAGGGCACAGGGCAAAGCTGGCTCCAGGGGTGGCCAAGGCAGCCCCATCCATGCCCTGGCCCGGCCCCTGACCTCACCTTTCTCCAGCTCCACAGGGAACAGCTCCAGCCTCTCCACCCGCTTCTCCAGCTCGTACTCAGCCGAGGCCGCCATGGGGTCCACATCCTCGTTGCGCCGGTCGTAGTCCTCGTTGGAGTAGGTGCTGAACACCTGTTGGGGGACGGGCTCCTCAGAGAGGCCTTGGAAAGCAGGGGAGCCGGCCCCCACAGAGTCACCTGCCTCCCTGACCTACCCCAGACAGGCCTGCCAGGATGCCTCAGCCAGCCCTGGGGCTGACCCCACTCTGAGATCCTGGGCCAGTGGCTCTGAGGTCTGGAGGCCCTGGGGCAGGGAGAGAAAGGGCCACCCTGGCCACTTGGCCTGGTCCCCCTGTCATGGGTCCTCTCTGAGTCTGAAGTGGGAAGAGGGTAAGGAAAGCGGCCCTGGAGAAGTGGTCAGCCTCAGCTTGGCCACGGCAGGTGGAGAGGACAGGAGAGATGAACTGGACACAGGGGCGACAGCAGCCGGCAGAGGAAGGAACAGACTGAGCAGGGAAGAGGGGAAGGGGAGGGGGGGAGGACAGAAGATGCTGGAGGATGCCAGATGGGGAGGGAGGGGAGCTGTGTGAGACGTGGGGAGTGGGGCTAGGGATGTGGCTGGAAGATGCAGTGAGGAATCCGGGGGCCCAGCTCTGAACCGGAAGTCAAATGCTGGGCACGGGGCATGAGAAGGGCAGCCCCCAGACTCCCCAGCCTACGTCCTCACTTGCTATGCACCAGCAGGCCCAGGCAGATGCACAGGGACCAGAACTCTGGGGAGAGCAAGCCGGGGAGATGGCAACCCTGCTCCCCTCCCCACACACAGCATCTCGGGCCCTGGTGAGCCCTGCACCCCATTCCTCTGCAGTCTCCCAGTCCCTGTGTCTCTCAGCAACAAAGGGAATCTCCGGCATCCCACCCCCACCCCACCCCCACTCTCCCCTGTATTGCAGGGAGGATAGGGCAGGGGCAGGGTGGGAGTGCCTAATTCTGAGCCCAGGCAGGGGTGCCCCCACGGGGGTGGGGGCGGGGGGTGTTAGTGAGCACCGTGATGTGTTCGTGCTTCACTGCCTGCATAGACAGGTTGGCACCACTCAGAGCCAGAAGGGGGTGAGCAGGGTGGGGAATGCTCCTTCGGACGTCTGAGGCCAAAGGCCTAAGGAGTAAGGAGGCCTGGGCTCCTTCGAGGGGTACCCTGTCAGCAGAGTACTAGGTGTCCCAGCCTCTCAGCCCCACCCCCATCCCCTGACCACCCAGCCACAGGCCCTCTACCACCAGCCAGGGCTGGAAGGGATGTGAAGCGTGCCTGGGAGGGGCCGTGTGGTCACTTAACTCAGTCCCCTCCATTTCGAGACAGCACAGCCACTAGGGCCCAGGCCCCTCAACATGTGGTCAGCGGCCCTCAGGCCTTCCTGTGCCCCCACCCCCAATCCCAAGGTCCTGGAGGAAGGGACTGCTCATTTGCACCCAGTCCAGAGCTGCCAGGGCAGGTTTCCAAGGTCACACAGGCCAGACAGCAGGAAGGCAGGATGAGGCTGTACCCAACTGGGTTCTGGGGGGTGGGTTACTCCCTGCCACATATGTGCCCCAAGGGCCTTGCAAGCCTGGACACCAACCCCCAACTGGCCCACTTTTACACCAGCATCTCCTGACCCTTGCCCTCTGTTCAAGCACCAAGTACCACACAGCTGTCAGTCTTTGTGGTCTCCAGTCCCACCCCCGCCACACAGAGACACCACCAGACAATACACCACGACCATCAGAACACAATCCCAGGCTGCCCTCTCCATCCTGCACCCTGCAGAAGCCCAGGCCTGGGGCCAGGGACCACCTGTCACCCCTCTCCAGGTGTCTGCCTATCAGGGGTTCTTCAAGCCTCTGCTCACAGCCCCAGGGG